TACTTTCTAATAGTCCCACAGTGCTTCTAGGATTTATTTCCAGGAAACTAAGTTACTGCCCTTGACCACAGAAGCAGGCACAGTACCTCACACTCATCTCCAGATGCCCTCACCAATAGACACTTTCACATCTCATTTAGCACTTTCTCCGCTCTAGAATCACACTGACTCTTATTTCAAGCTTAGCCTATCACTGGATGGCTGAGTTAGTAAAATTATTCTGATCATGAAATCACAACTAGAGTCAGTTCACAGCTTTCCTGCACTTTTAGTGAAACAAAAAATTGGAACAGTTGATGGTATGAAGATCCTTTTCACTGTCTCCCCCAGAAACATTAAATGGAAGAATAACTTTAAAATAAAAAATAGTCAGAAAATTTAGGACCAGTTCTTAAGAGGAAACAATTGAAATTATTTAATATTAGCATTCATAGTTCCATATATCAGCAGGGATTTACACTGTTCAATAAATAGATATAACAGATTTGGTTACCAGATGCTGATATATTATTGGCATTTGAGCACAGCCAGCTACATCCAGTGTTCTTCAAACAATAAATACTTTTATTTTATATTAGACATCTGAAAAAAAACAAACCTGTTATTTCATTGCTGGCATTTTAAAATACTACAACACTGATATCTGGATTCAACTCAGAACTCAGATTCCCAACTTTTCATCCTTTTTGGAAAAAAAAAAAAGCCACCAGTGAATTAACACTCTTACACAGGAGTGCTATTTATTTCATATTTATATTTTAAAACAGTAACACATATGGTCATGTTTCAATTTTGTGGAAAATGGGAGATCACAAAAGCAAAAGAAAACACAGTGAACAATAATAATATCTGCCTTTGACCTACATCCCAAACTGGCTTTGTGAAATATTTATTTTGTGCTACAGAATCTTTTGCATTTCACTACCTACATGTTCTCAAGAAAAAGTTATTCTCCAAAAAAAGAAACCAGTTCATTCCAGTGGTGGCAGGAAAGCAGCTGGAAGGTTTGAACACAATGCAGCAGTGATCCACATCAGCTCATCTTACTTCTAACATGTAAGACAGCAAGTTCTAACTCACAGCTTCTGCAGCACTTTTATTTTTCCCCAGACAGGGACAGTCATTCAACCATTAGGACCCGAGCCATGCACAGACTGAAATATGAATAATAAATGGAAAAGTAAAAGGAAATAAACAACTCCACACCCTCTTGAAAGCACAAACCAGAAATCTGCCTTTTCTTTAACGAGAGTATTGTTTTCAAATACAATCTGTTTCAGTCTGGGGAGTGAAGTCAGGCAGCTCCACCTTATTGTGGCCTTTCAGTAACTAAGTGGAACTGCTCATAAGAGAGGAACTTTATCAGGGTCTGTACTGATAGGACAAGGGACAACAGCTTTCAGTTGAGGAGGGCAGGTTGAGATTGGACATAAGGAAGAAATTTATGATGAGGGTGGTGAGACAATGCTGGAACAGGTTGCCCAGAGAAGTTGCAGATGCCCCATCCCTAGAAGTGTTCAAGGCCAGGGTGGGACTTTGAGCAACCTGGGCTAGGGGAAGATGCCCTGCCCACGGCAGGGGGTGAAATGAGATGGTCTTTAAGGGTCCCTTCCAGCCCAACCCATTCTGTGATTCCAGCACAGATTTCTAGCCATAAGTGACACAAAATGGTTCCCTCCGTGCCATGCCAAGGCATTAAGGAACTTTTAGCCAAATTCTGAGACTTATTATTATCATACTCTAGAATTTCACTTTTCTAAAGCATACAGTTGGAGTAACAATTGAGTGATCCTTGAATTTATTTTTTTTTTCTTAAAATAGCATGAACTTTCAGAGAGAAAGGCTGTTTTAGTTGCAAAACCTCCTTAGATGTGTACATTAGCATCTATTGAGTCATAGGAAGGTTTGGGTTGGAAGGGACCTTAAAGATCATCAAATTCCAGCTCTCTTGGGAAGAAGGGCAGGGACACCTTCCACAAGAACATTAACACGTGTTTAAGTGTTTAGTTTTGTTTTAAGACTTTACTTAACCAGAGATCAAAACTCATATTTTGGTTGCTATCATTTATAATGCACTGATTCAAGATGGGAACACAAATGCACTAAAGAAACACTGATGCCTAATGAGTTATATTTTCTAGTTTTCCACCTTAACATCATATTAAATACCATGGATCCTTCTAAGCTTGCTATCACAATAAATTAAAAAGCAACTGATATGATCATTTTATACAGTTGCCTCCAGAAAAGAATTTAAGATCAGAATAAAAACAGACTTTCACCACTTTCCCTCTTTGTTGTACAGAAGTGGGATTATGTCAAAATAGCTTAACAGCTCAGCATGAACACTACAGAAAATAGAAGTGCTGTGATTACATCTGAAGGTCATCTTTAATAGTACTAGGGACAAAAACTTGGGGCAAGGTGGGGAAAAAGGGAATAGCTGAAGGAAGCAGCTGTATCCTCCAAGATCAACAATAAGAGAAGAACATTCCTGAATGTAAAGCTTGCAACACACACGCAGCTCTCCCAGAACAAATTCCATCCAGTCACCCCCAAAACCTTACTTGGCTCTAGAGCCAGAAAAAAATTTGTCAAGAAAATTTGGAACAATCCAGAAAAAAGAACACAGTTGCCAAACCACAACCAATAGGCAATTACTTACCCCGCAGGAATGTCTGCACATAAGCTAGATTTTCTGTATGCAAACACAAAAGTGCTGTTCTGTACAAAATAAAATTTTGTTATGGATCTAAAAATAGATTTGATAAGATGTATTATATCCAGTTCCCACATGTCTGATAAGGAGCAAAAAAGGCATAAATTAGTACTTTTTTTTTCTTTGAAACTATTCAGGAGTAATAAGGGTTTCAAAAGTGGGAACTTAAACACACTCAAGATGTTTCATGTATCAAGGCTGGTATCATAAAACCATTCTGCAGATCACAAAGAAAGGTTAGAATCAAGGTTTTAGACTTTGTTTTGCGAGTCTTCTGAGGCTTTGCTTCAACTTCTCCTGGATATCTCAGGGATGCTGCCTATTGAAACTGTTTTATCCAACACTGAGACAAAGCCTTTAAAGCTTTGCTTCAACAAAAGTAATATCCATTGAAATCCATTTCTGCTAAAAAAGAATCAGAGCATTATAACTGAGTTCGAGATCTGCAGCTCAATGGCTGTACAATCTCAGTAGCAACAGAATTGAACTTCACTTAAGGAACATGCTAACAGAGCAATTCAATTTGAGAGAAAAGTGTCTTGGAGTTTAAGATAAGCCTTGAAGTAAGGACAAGTCAAACAGACACTTTTTCACTTTCCTTTAGAATATATGTGAAAAATGGTGATGACAAAACAACAACCTTTTACTGTCATCTCCAAATCAAACAGTAATAACATTTAAATTTACCCTGAAGACACTTCAAGAGCTGTAGACCAACTATGCTGGATTCTGTAAGCTGTGTAACAGTATCTCTTGCATAAAATGCAGATTTGAAAAAATAATTTACCAAAATCCAGAGGACAGAACCAGCAATGCTAGAAATGTAGTACTCTAAAAAAACTATTTACATATGCACATACTAGGTACTAAAAGTGTAAAGTAGTTATCATGCCTTGGTGACAGGATGTGACCAAACAGTAGCTTCTGTGCCCCAGAAATATTAGCTGAAGGATATGGAAAATGAAACAAACTTGAAATAGTACTGCAAATGTATCTGTACTCAGCATCCGTAGCAGAATCATTACAGACTTCTGTGAGAAAGTAACAAAAAGCTATTAAAAAAAAAAAAAAACCTCCAAAATCAAATGAGGTCTCCAACGTGAAAGAACTCTTGTATGGCTGATTACAATGCCAAGGGGTGAACCTTGGTACATAATTAACATTACTCAGAACATTAAAATCAAGAAAAGCAGAACACATATATATTTTTACACAATATTACAAAACAGAAGAACAGCAATTTGATGATTGAGAGAAATTTTTTTCTCCCAGGACACAACCCACAGTAAGAATAATTTCTTTAAATTAAGATTCACTCTGAATTGCATTTGAATTATTGTCAGGATACATGTAACTAAGCAGATCTATATAAATAGAGTATTTCCTTAGGGCTGCTTCTTCTAACATGCTTTATCACCTGAGGTAAAATGCTTCAGGGTATTATTCAGAAATTAGTTTGAGAAATGCATTGAAACAAGAAACAAGAAAGTTTACAACTTTCATTCAGAAATGAAAGTTTCAAATTGCATTAACAAGAACTGCACACAAAACAAAAGATTACCACAGCTAACAGCAACACTTAGGTACTGCAGAATACAGCTGTACTCTGTAATATAAACAGTTATGAACTTTATTTAGGTTTTGTTTTCACACTTCAGAACTTGAAGGAGTTGGAACTGTCATCTCAGTACTACAATGAAGATGGAGGACGTTAGAGTAAAAATAAAACATCTGTGACAAAGAAAAACAGCAAAAGCAGTAGACATTGCCTACTCCCAAACAAACAAATGCCACTTTTCACAAAGTAAGTGCCACTCAGACAAGAAAATCTAAGTTCTACCTCCAGAGCACTTCTGTATCATTTCATCATGACTATGAAAACAAAGCACTAACATAAAAAAGAAAAGCATACTGTATAAGTTGGAGATACTGCCTGAAATTCATGACAATCCAGGTAACACATATTTCCTGCTGTGAACTCCAAACACAGACTGCACCTAAGTAGCAATACAAGGCTAAAAATCAAGTTGTTCAAGTAGGATTGAATATCTCCTATGCTGTGCGTTGCTTCTTGACAAAGGCAGCACTCAAGTTCCACCGGGCCATGGTTAGTTCAGTCCAAATGAACTCAACTTTCATTAATAAACAAAGGTTGTTTCCCCAACCTTTTGCTCTTCTTTTGGGAATCCATGTATTTTAGTGTGTTATTGTGTTATATCTGGGGGAGGAATTTTATTTGAAGAAAGAAGCTTGAAACACATTCAAATGAAATTCCACATACCTGGACAAAGCAGGAACAGGTACTCCTCTTGCTCGAATTGATGCTTTTCCACGGACAACTGGAACTTCTGCACTTTCTGAGCCACCATTTAAATATGTTAATTCTTGAAGCTGTGCCTGTCTGATTTCATCGTTGTAGTCCTAAAACAAGGGGGAGGCAGAGTGAGAAAAAAAATTAAATTGTTTACCCACCTCTGTCAGCAAACTCTTAAAAAGTTGAACATTGCACTGAAAAAGTTTAATATGCATAGTAAATAAGAATAACATTCAGTCCAAACTTTATTACAGAATTCTACATAACTGCCATTTTTGCTCAAGCATTTTTTTCATTCCCTTTGCATATATTTTTATGTAGCTTTACCAATTAAAATGGCAATGTTAAAATGCTGCAGAGATAGGAGAACACCAGAAAAAAATATCAAGATCCCATATTCTGAACCGAGATCAAATTTGTAGTTCCAGCTGCAGAATGACTGTGTTAAAATCAGAAAAAAGAGGGGAGAGAGAGAGAGAGAGAGAGCTGTAAAAGAGTAGAGAAAAACTACACTGATGAGAACAGCACATGAAAATGAAGGAATAGATTAGGAATCCACACTTTAAAAGTCAGGAGTTACAGAATAAACACATTAATTCATTCAATACATACAAGAACTGTTATCTAGTAAGAAGAGCTCAAAAAATTAAGTTCTGTAATATGCAATGGTAAAAATGCCAAGGACATATGACTTGTTTCTGTCTGCACAAATCCTCTACTCTCAAGATCTAGGAAAAAGAAAGCTCAGGTGTTTACACACAGAATTAATATGGTACTTCTCAAGCACAAGTTTTCAGGGACCTTGAGTCAACCTCCGAAACAAGCAGAGCACACAGGAATAACACAGACCCAACACTCAACTCTTGAGATGGAAGTATTTTCCTGTCATTTCTCCTCCACTTAAAGTGAGCCATGCAGAATGCAGCCATAAAGGTGAATTAAAGATAATTATTTTACCCAAGGTGCAACCATTCTATCAAAATATTAATAGGTACTCTCATAGGAACAAAGGGATACTCCAGATACAACAGCTCTTCTGCAAAACCTCCCATTTCAAGAAGAAAGGTTTATTCTAACACCACCCATTTTACAATTTAATGACAACACAAAGAATCTGCATCTCACTGCAAATCTGAGTTTATTACATTTATTCACTAGACAGGGACCAAAAGATTGTCAGGCAGTCTTACAGACTTTGAAACATAACCCTGCATTGAAAGAAGATTAAAACTTCCATGAATTCAAATCTCTCAATTATCCTTGAAACATTCTGCTTCTCCTACACTTCTATAAAAGGAAATAAAGTTGTCCTTTATATGCCATTGCTGAAGAATGTTACTGGTGTTTAAAGAAGAAGCACTATAACAGCATTTTGTCCAAACTGCCTTAAATAGGTTTTGAAATTTAACTCCCAACTGCCCACCTGAGATCATCCTCTATTTAGCAGCAGAAACCAAATATGAGAAAGGTCTAGAAGACTGAAATAACTGCTTCAAATGACAATTGAAGCTTTTGATAAACAGATTTCATTATTAAATGGCCAGGACCCAATACATAGCCAGTCCATCACAGGGAGTAGATTACAAACAGGAAACTGAACACTATTCTGGCCAGCTACTGTACAGAAACCCACTTTGTATTTTTTATCTGTTGCTGGATCAGAACTGGCTACAAATGCAAAATTCTATGCCCTGTATAGAGAAAAATTTCAACCTTGATACAAAGAAACCTTGCCAAGAAACTGTACCACCAACATACAATATCAAAGTTCTGACAGCCTGTATCAGATGCCCTTTATAATTTCTTCACAAAACATCTTTTTCAGAACTGGGCCCCTGGAAAAATGCCTTTGATGATTTTATACTCAGTTAATTCAATTCCTTAGCAAAGACATGCTCGGGTTGCCACTGTGTGTGTTGGGTCCCTTTTCTTTTCCCCCTGATGCTTTCTCACTTTCCTGCAGCACATTACCAGACACAGCAGCAGCCTTAGGTCACAGAGAAGGGCTCTGCTGTGCACAGGACAGAACAGAAAATATGGCCCTTATCACATATGCCAGAGGCAGCAGGAGGATGCAGAGTGAAGGGGCAGCACAAGGCAGCCACGATAAGCTGCAGTGTTAATCCATTAGATGCTGAAATGGATTCCTCAATTAAAAGTAGCAGATGGTCAATTTATGAATACTCACTGCTGGAAACAGCACACTTCAAGTCAAATGAAGCAGACAATCTTTTCCTCACCTAGAAGATGGACATGGAAACTCTTTAGACTGCATCCCTCCTCTGAATATCTTAGGCAGTAGCAGCACTTGAATTTAAGTCAAATGCTGCTGCTGAATTTCAATTGAACAGGTGTACTCTGATTTTATGAATAAATTGACTAGCCTGACTAGCTACAGTCTTATCCATTAGCCATGGAGGCTGCATTTACATCAAGATCCATGCAAGACATTTTCATCTCACAAGTCCCCGTACTTACATGATCTAACTAAATCTTTAAAATTTTATCTATGATTTTCACCCAGCCACATCAAGGTATTGGCAGCAGCATCTCTTGGGATCACTCTAGCTTAAGACCTTATTTCAATTTATCACTCAAACTATTAGCAATGCTATTTATTTATATCATGTTAGGACAGATCCCCACAAAACCCTTCACAGCTTTGCAAAGTACTCAAGTAGATCTTTATCCTGACAGTGAGCAATCAATAATTACCAGGTTTCCAGCCACCTTTTTTTTATACCTTACACTTACTTGCCAGCTTAAGGAAAAGTCTTCGAGAGATTCCAAAGGCCACCGAGCTCTTCAAAATGCCATCAAAAGCTGTATCATCACCACATCATACAAACTAAATGTGCAGAAGGTAGGACAGGCTACAGGAAAAGGTTGTGAATTCCGCTCACATTGTCATAACTGGTATGGATTGTTCTCTCAAAGCGATTTCTATATTTTGCTTTAAAGACAAGGAAAACGAACTCTGGTAACCAATGGCAAAGGGTAATTAGTGCTGTATCTGTCAGAAGACAAATGACTGCCATTACTCAAAAGTTAAGCAAAATAGACTAAGTTCTAATGGTCCAAACTGCCATAACCATAGAATCACAGAATGGTTTGGGGTGGAAAAGGCCTTAAAGGTCATCTCGTTCCAACTCTCCAGCCATGAGCAGGGAGGTTTTTTTCCCACTTTCCACTAGATCAGGTTGCTCAGGGCCCCATCCAGCCTGGCCTTGAAACCCTGGCATAATACAGCAACCAGGGAGGGGTGAGATTGAAAGTACCTGGCTTTTTGACCTGATAGAAATAATTCTGAGATAACCAGTATCAAGCACAATACCCACCAATCAATCTAATACTCAAACAAGAGTGCTGACCAGAGTCTGGCCAGAATAAAGGGACTGGCTAATTTAAAGGAAAATGGAAGAACGTACTTAAAAGTCAGAAGACACAATTCTAATTGCAGAAGAAAGTTAACACTCAAGGCAACATCAGCACAGCCAAAAATACCCTCAAAACCAGTTTTTATGTTTTGGGTTGAGCTGTGCCAATAGTTTAAATGAAATTACACCACTGCAGCTGCTTGAGGTTAAACTTGAATGCAACGATACTTGCCCATGGATCTGAAGATCCAATAAGAGAGGCTGAGGCATTTTTGCTATAGTCAGCTACCACAAGGATATTCTGTATTCTAGCACCAAATGTGATGTTATGTTCAGCACTGATCTGAAAGATGAACAATAACCATATTCATAAATTTGATCTAGCATCTAAAACTGTAGGAAGTCAGAGACCCTACATTGTACAGATAATGCAAATTATGATCATAATCATATATATTCATAGCAAGACATCTTTCCTGAAATAAAACAGGTAATTTCTTAAGAAAGCCACAACAGACCTTGGAGAAAATAAAAACCAAGTTGCATTTGGCAGCAGTGAACCAAACACTATTTCTAAAGGAAAAGCTGCTGCTCCTTCAGTGGCTGCTGCAAGGGGGGAGGGGGCAGGTGAAAGAGATTAAGGCTTTTAGAGCAATTCTGATAGGCTTACATTTGAAAAACCAAAGGGAAATTAAAACAGTGTTGGCTTGATCCCACAGTTCAGGAAAGATTATGTAGCATCAGTTCAGCTCAGTATAAGATGCAATGATCAAAAATAAAGATGGAAAAGTGTATAACACCAGTCAATGAGATTGCTCATTATCAGTCTATAATTCTACTGGCTTAGCACACTAATGACGAGGTGTTGATAAGATTACTTCATTTATGTCAACATTAGGGAAATCAAGCTGAATGAAAAAAAAGACCTCTAATGGAGGGGGCATGGGGATCAGACACATCCTTGCTTCCAGCACATGCAAGAAGCATTTATCAAATTGAACATATTTCTATTTAAAAAAGGGCAGCTGTTTGCTGTCTAGAATAGCCAAGAACTTAATTCTCCCTTATTCCTCCCCACCCTTAAATCATGAATCATGTAAACAGAGTAACCTTCATTATGACAGCCCAGCATTCCTACAAATATTCTGTTGAGTATCCTCTGTTGGATCAGTTAGGATGCCTGAACAGTAGTATGCTCATTCAGCTCTTTTCATGTGCATCAAGAAAAAAGAAATTTAGAACCTGCAGAGAAATGTACAATGTGATGTTTGATTTTTTTTTATGAGAACATAATGCCCAGGACATCTTTGTTTTTTAACTGTCCTAAAGTACATCTGCATTAGGGTTACTTCACATCAGGACATATTCCTAGTGAACCTCCTGACAGCTGTCATTTATCACGCTTTGGTTCATACCACAGTGTAGTATTGGGGCTCATGAACTCGCTTCATTCAGACAAAAACAGGTCAGAAGAAACAGTCAAGTAGCACACAGCTCCAGTCACCTGGGACCTAGTTTCATAAGATACTTTCAAGCTGGAAGAGACCCACAGGGATCCTTCAAGTCGAAATCATGGCCCTGCACAGGACACCCCTAGAATCCCACACCATGTGCCTGAGAGTACTGTCCATTTCTTGAACTCTGTCAGGCTTGGTGCTGTGACCATTTCCCTGGGGACCCTGGTGTGGTGCCCAACCACTCTCTGTGTGGTTTCATAGATGTGGACTAGGTTTGGTACAAACTATAATTCCCAAAATACATACAGGAGCACTGTTAAACCATCAGCACCAACTGCTGTACAAGAGACATCCCCAACTGGTCCCCAATACAAGATTCTGGCTCCACTCAGACATATACAAGCTGCTGTCACTTAGATACATGCCTCAGGAAACTTTCCTTATCCAGGTCCCCACACTTCCCTGATCTGACACAAATAAAGATTAACACTTGGGTGTTAAACATTTTCAGCAGTAAAAATAAACAGAAGTCAATGCACCTTGAGAATGCTTTGCTTTCTATACTAATCCTTTGATCACCAATACAGACTGAAGAAATATTCACCCAAGAGCTGAAATAGCTGGGAACTTCACACACAAACATCACCTGAAGTGCTCCAGAGCTTCCTAAGAGAGGCTGGATTTTTTCAAGCAGTTTAATATTGCAAAGAAGTAAGGTTGGTTCTTACATGAGGAGCAGATGAAGTTATCTTCTGATGAAAGACATTATAAACCCATTACCTAGATATATCCCAAACCTGGAGTACAAAATTGTACTGGAAACCAGATGTCATTTCTTATATCCATATAACAGAAGCTGAAGTATACACCAGAAACCAAGTATAGCTCGTGTATCACTAGTATTGTGATAAAAATAAAGATACAAGATAAACCTGTATTGATTCTCTGCACTCAACACTAAACCAGGGTTACAAGTGAGAGAAATACTACAGCTTCAAATATATTAATTCTTAAAAAGAATTGATGCTTCACATGTACCAAGAAGCCAGAAAAGGCACACATTTACAGATTTTTTACAATTATCTGCAGTCTAAAAGTGATACCTTGCATATGACTAGTTAAGCAAGAATAAGTTTCTCTTTTACTGTAGGTCAGGTCATGAAATTTGCGTGGGCAGTTACACATTCACCCAGCAACTGCTTCTATCAAAATGCAAAGTATTTGACAGTCAATTTCTTTCATAAATTAAATTAAGTAACAAGACCTGACCAATACTGTGCACTGTTCAGAATCATAGTTTAGATTGGAAAATCATCCAGTTCCAACCCCCTGCAATGGGCAGGGACACCTCCACTAGACCAGCTTACTCAGTTTTAGAGATAAAACTTCTCACTCAAGACCACCAGAATTATCAATAAAAAAAAATAAAATACTAACAGGGATGAGGAACTTCTTGATTTCTTCCAATGCATGTCCCATTCTGGCATACGCTTCTGCAGGTGGAGCAAATACTTCAATTAAAACATGTAGGTCATCATTTAGGTGGAAATACTTTGCCTCTCCACTTTTTCTTAACTCTTCCTCCTAGGAAATAAGAAAAATGGTTTTACAGATTCTTGTTCAAAACATTCTAATGCAAGTATTGAAGTTTCCCTAAAGGAATTTGCAGACACTGTTCACTCATATTCAGATGCCTACAACTGAAAAAGTAACATAAAGTTAAGAGCCAACAGCTTCTGCTCACATACAGAAACTGTAGCACAAGGAGGAATGCTTCCAAGAGTTTTTCCAGATGCACTAGTTTCATGAAGACACTCTTTTCTTTAAAGTCTACAGAAACAGGTTTGATCTAATACTCCACACGAGCAAGCTACTTTTACCAATATTATTTCAATCTCAATATTACTATGCTGCTTTGATACTTATTTTCTGTTCTCACTGAAGTTTTCATCCAATGAGCGCATCCTTCACAGAACTGTGCTATTTGGACATAAAGCTAACAGCATATGAGATGAGGGAAGAGAGTATTAGCAAAAAGAGTTCACCAGCTATTTCAGAAGCAAGCTTATTTCTTTCATCTTCCTGCACCCAAGCCAATTCAATGACTGCAAAGCTGAGTTCAATAGAGTGAAGCAGAGCTCAGTTCTCAAATACTGACATTCACATGCAAGATATTCACAGACCAAAAGGACAGCACTTGCTTTTTCTTGGGCTGCCCCTTGCCCATGTGCACTTGACAGGTCCAAGGGATGAAACCAGCACTAGAAATAATTTCAGTGTTTTATCAGATAACATTATGTCACATAATTAGTAGTTCTGCTGTCTAAAAAACTAACACTCCCCTGCAATTTCCTGTATTTGGCAAGTGCCAGGTAAGCACTTCACCGTTTAGATTACTAAAACTGAAAGTTGCAATGATAGCTGAAATCTCCTCCCCTGCACACCCCTAATTACAAGGCTGAGTTTTATATGTGACAATCTATTTCTGCTCCTCATGCATAACATTCTTATCAACATGATTTGTGTTTAACTATGAAGGTGTTTTTTTTAAAAAAACAGTCTAGATCACTGTCAGTGCACCCAGACCAAGAATATTAAGAGGTCACTCAGCAGGATTAGACTGTCAGCAAAATCATTATTTTGCCAATACAAATAAGAGATTTTAAAAATAGAAAGTAACCTAATATAAATGTGACAGTTCAAATATTTAGTTTTAAGAGAAACTGCTTCTCAGTTAAATACTTGAGGCACAGTTACTCAAAATACATGAGCCACAAGCATTGGAAGTTGAGTATCCCATATACTGTTTTTTGGTATATACTTGCACTACACACTCCCTGTCCTTTTCTCCTAAAGGAGAAAAAAATCACTGTGTGGTTAGTTTGTGCAGAAGACAGAGTGCTAAGAAACCCTCTTTCTGTGTTTATCAATCAAGTTGGCTGATAACAGCAATAAGGAAAAAGTCACAATTTTCTGCGTAGGACCTGGTAAAAAAAGCATTTCAGTAAGCACTTTTAACAAAACATACAGAATTTCATGGTTTTCTATAAGATCATTCCCATAACCAAACTTTTAAAGTAATTCTGTGCTTTTTTTGCCAATTTATTTTTTATTATTGTATTTTATTTTAGTTCTGTAACATGACTTGGCAATGCTTCCATGACTTTCTCCATTCATTGCAAGGCCAGAAGTTGGACTTTGATAATTCATGCAGGTACCTTCTAACTTGGGATATTCTGTGATTCTATGAAAACACTACACACTAAGGCTCTTATAACACCACACAAATGAAAATCAGCTCACTCACTGGCTACATCTCACAACCTTGAGAACACATGAAGCATTTCAGGTTTTTTTCATTTCCCAAAAATACCAATACAGAAGCCACATTGTTCCCATTCCAGTGTCCCTTTTTGACAGTAATTTAGATCCCATAAAATTCTATCTTGCACTACTTGACATCTATTGGCTTGGTTTGCCCACTGCATGTGGAATCTTGGCTTGACTGGCCAGAGACATTAACCAATAAACAGTATTAGGATCTCCTATGCTTTTTATTTGTTCCAATTATCATTACAAGGTTTGTTCCCCTCCTCAGAAATTTAAGTTAAGTAACAAAATTCCACTGACATACTGAGGCCTTACCTTTGTCTTGTCCCTCATAGAACCTTTTCCCAAAATGGACATTTTTGTCAGTGTTTCTTCCTGTAAACGCTTTAGGGAATTACCACGTGGACCCAAAAGTTTTCCCACAAAGTTGAACTGTAAGAAAACAAAAAAAAACCAACACATTAACTTCAGTGGATTTCTAATTGTAAATTAATGGGCAATGAGAAAATTAAGAGACATTTTGCTGAAACAACTTCTGGTCATAGGTGCAAATGATTAGACCATAAATTAAAAAAAAAACAAACATTAAGTGCAATCATATAGTACAATTAATAGAATGTCAGTGGCTCTAACAACACAGAAGTATCTGAACTCACGGATGACTTGGTGTCCACTACAGGCTGCCAGATCAAAGGGAGCCTGTTGATAAAGTCATCTTGCTCCAGCTAAGAGGAGGCATCGTGCCCAAGGCTTTTGTCCTGCTGAGGGACTCCCAACCACCCCAACATCTCCTGGAAAAGTGGCAAGGCGAGCCATAGGAAACCCTGGAGACTCCTGGAATGCATGTGGGATAACTTCCTGAGCCAGGTAACAGACAGACCTACCAGAGGGGAGGTGTTACTGGACCTGTTGGCCACCAACACAGATGAGCTCACTGGGGACACCAAGAGGGATGGTGCATTGGAAATGGATCACATAAGGAATACAGCTGGGCTCCTGAACTTCAGGAAAGCAGATTTCCTGCTCTTTGGGGAGCAGTGGGATCAGTAGGATATCCTGAGAGACTGCCCTCAGGGTCTATAGAGAAGAATATATATAATATATAGAGAAGTCTGGATGTGTAGAGCTGGGGGTGAGGAGGGCCCAGATGAAGCTGAAACTGAATCTGGCAAAGGACACAACGAGTAACAGAAAAGGCTCCTCCAGATGTCCCAACCAGAAAAAGAAGATTAAAAAGATGTTACCTCCCACTGACAAATCACAATGGAAAACTGGTTACAACAGATTAGAAGGTTGAGGTACTCAACAACTGAAGTGACACAATCATGTTAAAAAGATAGTTTTAGGCAGAAATAAAATTGCTGAACAGCAAACAAGCTTAAGCTTTGTGGCCTCAAATTTATAAAACAGTTTGCAAGTTCTTTGCTTGTCCTTCTACTGCCATGTCACTGAAGAGCCAAGATGGGCCAATCTCCCTGTTCAGCTGGAGTTACTTGAAAGGACTTCACAATGGGGCAACGGCAGTCCCAAATCTCTTGTTCCTACGCTGGAAATGCTGGTGGAACAAAGGCCCAGCTGTACTCACCCTACAATGCAGAAAGTCTACAACTCCAGTACAGTCTTTTTCTCTCAGCTTTAGACAGAAAGGAAAGCAAGCATTAAAGGTCAACTAAATATGAAAATATAAGTTTATTCCCCTTACTAGTTTTAAGTTCAATTCCCAATGTAGAACTGTCATAATACTATTGAGAAAATGGCTTATAGATTAATATAGTCCACAGAAACTATTAAATTTAAGGCCTTCCATGAACCAGTCTTTTCTTAAATTATCAGGTCACATCAAGAAATTCTCAGGAAATTTCTTTAATTTTTTTTTATATAGGTCCTAAGATACAGTCAAGAAAAATATTAATCAGAAAGACTGAACAGATACAAGTAGAAATTTCCCTTGCTGAGAATATTCAGGACTCAGGCCACTGATGGAGTCCTGGGCAATTTAATTTACCATCATTTCAACAGAAGGTTGAACATCTGAAGGTGCAGACGTTCTCTAGAGATTCGTTTTAACTTGGACTTCTGATTTTATTGTTTCTGAAGGTATAACTAAGGAAAGCAAACAAATTGAAACAATTTGTTACAAATTTGAACTTTGAGAGTCAATTATTCCCTATCAAGAGTTGCCTGAAAGGAAGCTCATAGTTCAGTGTAGCTCATAGTTTAGCTCAAAATAAAGTTTTCATGTAGTGAAATACCACCTCATTTTTTCAAGCATTACTTAAGATTACTTATGTCTACTTATAATAGCCTTTTAAGCTACTGGCAACAAAAAGAAGCACTAACTCTTCACTGCAGCTATATTCTTTTAGTTAAAACCAAGTAGCTTAATGTTGTGTAAATCTAAAACTTAACCTACCAAACTTTAATACCTCCAAAAGTTGTCATCTTTTAAAAACCATGAAATCTCTAATGCCAAAGTCAGACATTACAGAAGCTATACAAGGACTGCACAGATGACATATTCTAGACACATTTAATGAATATGAAAATGTATTGTCTGTATCCTGAGATCCACTGAACTATTCTTTTCTGTGCACTGAGACTCCAAATATTTGATTTGACAAGTCTGAAGCATAAGAAGATTGTGTTGCAAGTTGAAATTCTGCTGATTTTAAAGCACAGTACCTCTAGGTGTAGCTTAAAAGCACAAAGGTTAGTAAAATATGGCTTACAATGCAGTCACAAAGCATTTTTGCTCCCACATAACAAAACTAAAAGGCTTTGGAACATTTCAGTTGATTGTTCCATAAATAAAACCCATTTATGATATTGAAGAAATACTTTCAGTAGAAAACAGATTATTCAATTTGAGCAGGTACTGCATTTTGTTCAAACTATTGGTTTATCTCCCTTTTATATCAAATTGGAAATATCTGATCAAAGGTTTATTTTGAAATATTTCATAGATATAGAAACACTCAAAGTATCAGTCACTAACTTACTATTATTACTTATTCACTGCTTTCAATCAAATAGCAGAAGGACCCAAACCTAAGTGTACAAATGCAGCACACAGTAAAACAAATTTTAGTTACAAAATTAGCAAATACTGTTTATCTGCTGGTGTTACAGAAGTGAGTAAGCCTGGAAGATCCAGGTTAGCTCTTACACAAGATTGCTCATATACAAACTGCATAGGTGCTTCCCATGTTCCACTTTTAGGGTTTACTTGCCCCAAGAGCACAAGAACAAAAGAAACTCAGGTTTATTATTGAACTGAAGCTTATAAACTATATCTGAATTAGATACACTGGATAGTAAAAAATGGGACATCTGAGCAGCTCTGCCCTTGTCAGAGCAGTCACATTCAGTAGTGCTGGATGAGAATCAGACACGCCAGACTCTCCTCTTTACTCACCCCTCTCAATACACCACAATCACCTCCAAACTGATGTAAATACCAAAAATCATTCTCACCTTCACCAGCTTCAGCTTAATATGGTATTAAAGCAGTCACTGAATTCCAGTGCAAGCTAGTGAAGTTTTCAGTTCTACAGGACAGATGAACTCCACCATAGAGTCAACCAAAATCATGGATCACCTTTGTTAAATCAAATTGTCTCTGCACTAAGCCAGCTTCTAATGCATTAGGTAAGTACCAGTAAACTATGGACAGTGGCATATAAGAGAGGAGATAAAGTCCCCAATTCAAATTTGCCTCTAGACCAGCTCCAAAGGATTTGGCAAATATGGTATCTCAAGCAAAATTACAGGCATCTTTGCAAAAACAGTATCAATATTCAGATTAACAGATCAGGGAGGAAACAGATAAAATGGGAAAAATTAGCATCTCAGCTACACTTCTAACCAAATATTGATAAACGGTACCCTCTGAACAAAATATCATCTGATAATACATTAGTTTGAGCAAAAGGATTCAAGATTTGAGAGGTATTCTTATTCCTAAAATCTGTGATCGCTGCAAGCACATCCTCCTGTACCTCTGGTTAGCTTTGTGGGTAAAGATACACCATACAGTGCAATAGCCCTTCCTCAAATTCCTGGGATACAGGATTTTCTCTTGATCATGGTGTCCATTAGCTGGCAAATACTGGTTAACTGTACTGAAATAATGTATCTGTTTCTCTTTTACCAATTATCCTAAAGTCTGCAACAAAAAATTTCAAATTTAAAATACATCTTAAAAGGAAAACATCTTTCACAATAGAAACAAAAAAAATATTATAAGGTTTTTGCTTCAAATATTTTTCCTTTCTTAGATATTCATAAATACTCATTTAAAGAAGCATTTTTTCAGTTATCATACAAAAGAGATTATGGGCATCACTGCATGGCACCCACTTCTTTAGAAATCACCAAATCAAAACATGACTGGAACAGCTGTATAGAGATTTGTTTCCTTATCACCACATCACTGCTTGACACTTTCCCCCGAAAACATTTTTGGAAAAACACAGTTACAAAGAACATTCAAAGAACATGATATCATCTTTAGAACCATTTCATCTACTATATGAATTACAGCCAAAAAAAAAAAAGAATTAGTGCTAGTGCTACAGTATTTTTAAATGTATATATTGCAGAAAAGGGGATATAATAGAAAAAGTAATCCTTGTTTATCCCTAACCAAGGCAAGTCTGCTAAGAATGGTTCATCCAGCTTAAAATACTTAGTGAAAGTATAAATGCTTGACCAAATGCTTTCCTGTAAAGCTTTAAGCACTCCATTATTATTAAAGCCATAGAAAGCTTTCTTGACATATTAGTTTTCTGCAATGGTTTCTCTGTGACAGGGTCACTAGAAAAAAAAAATGGAAAGTTAATTAAGATTCAGGGCACTTTCCCTTAGAATGACCTGAAAAAAGGCAAACTTCAAGCTTTTTTTCTATTCATCTCAGAAAGTTTCTATAGAAAGGTAAATGCTTCAAATATCTATGTTACACCACAAACTACTCTCCTTCATGTAACAGGGTAGTAGTTCTTTAAACATTTATTCATAGCAGAAAGCTTAGTCAATTTTACCATAAAGTTGCTCAAAAGTTATCCCTGCTATTACAATTGATGCTTGTTCCTCCACATCACTTCTGGTTATGCAACCACATTTTCTCATTTCTGCTTTAAGAAATCCTTAGAGCTGAGGTATTATGAAAAACTGCTTTCTAACTAGACATGTGATTAAAATATTCATCTCTCCATGACTTTACATAACAACAGCAGATATATATGACAATGACATTTTAAAACATGTATTTCACTTTAAAAGTTGAGCTAAAAGACTTAAATGGATACCAGTTCCACAAGTCAGTAACTTTTGAGAAAATATATCGAAAGTATCACTTTGGGGAATAACAGACCATTTCTTCCTAACTTCTGAGATTTACCCAGTATTTAAGTGTAGATCTATGAGCAATTTTT